CCTGTCTGGGGTCTGAAACGGGTATAGGAAGTTTGTTATTTTACGTTATTATTATTTTTTATGAAAATTATTTTATTATTATTATTATTTATTATTTTTTTTCAAGAAAATTATTGTTATTTTTTCATGTTCCGGGATGTTCCGGGTTTTATCGACGCCCGTTGGCAGTTGTAGGTTTCAGATTTATCTCTACATTCTTGTATGCGTAATGAGCCGTGAATTCACACGCGATTCAGTTACGAAATTTCTACCAGCTCAGTTTCCCTGAATTTGATGTAAAAGTGTTCTAAGAATTTTTATTCATTCAAAGATTTTCAATGTGACCAAATACAAACAGAGGCGACACGACACCGATGAGAAGAGTGATTTAATTTGTTTAAGCAGTCAATCACGTGACGGAGGAATGTGCGACCACCATGGACAACTTGGCACGCAAAGTTTAAAGATCCCGCGAGGGACTGCAATTGACGTTTGGAGGCAGAAGCCTTGTGTGAGGAAGTGTTAACGAGATCGATCAGCCGGTTTAACGTATCCTCGGGAAGTCGGAGAGACATAGTTGAGGAATCTAGCTCAATGCCTAAGAAGGTGATGCGCTGGGTGGGAGAAACGACTTTGCGCCAACTCACGTTAAATCCGAGATAATGCAGCAAATTGATAAGGGTGACAAGCCCCCGCTGACATTCTTCCTTAGTACTTCCGATGATAAGAAAATCATCCAGATAATTAACCACAGCACGAAAACCACGACGAACCATCATGCAAACAATAGCGTTAGAGATACGGTTGAAAATGAACGATGCGCACGAGAGACCGAAACAAAGTCTGTTGTCCACGTAATAATTATACTGGGAAGAGTCGTGTGTGCCAAACTCCAGCGAAAACTTTGTAATTCTCGGTGAGGGGGGTGGGGGTGGGCTGGAAACCGGGATCCAGCGCCAAGCAGATTCCATAACAACTATCGAGTAAAAGCAATAAGGTGTAGAAAATGACACCGCGCTGTCAATTGAATTCATGCAAAAGGACTGTAAGTCACGCTTAATGTGATGGTTCAAAGAAATACCATGCGGACGACTGCAGTCAGTAATTGGGCGGGATTTTCCTGAGTCCTTTTTCGGTACACGGCCGATAGGGTGTACGCAACGCGGTTTAGTTAGAACCATAGAGATGCGCCCTAAGGTGAGTTCTTTTGTGAATAAACTATCCATTTCCGGTTTAAAGTCTGGGCAGGTAGCACTAGAGTAATTGTCGGATTCGTAGGCGACGATACAAGAAGGGTCGGACTCTGGAATAAGCTTAAAACCAAAACGCAAACGATCGAGGAAAAAAATTCCATCGGGGTCGTCAGGACGTTCCTTGTCCCAAGCGTGGAAACGTAAAGGGCAATCCTCAAGCGGGGGATATAGAAAAATTTGTTGAAGTAGGATGCGCAAAGGGTGCTGACAGAACATTTTCCTCGAGCGAGGACTGTTCTAAAGAATCGGTTCATTTTTTGCTTTTCTCAGCGTTCGCGGAACCCGAACAACTCTTGCCCTTATGCTGAGTAAAGGAACAGTGAATACAAACGTGCTTGTAACCACACGACTGTGGATTTGGGCAACCAGTTGGGTTAAAGTTCCAGCGAAAACAGAATTCTTCATTTCCTGACCCGCGGCTATCCCCGCGACTTTCGTTTCGGGGAGGGCGCTGTGCCACGGCGGCATCAAAATACTGCGCACTGAGGTCATCTAAACTGGTGCCCCATCAAAATTATCCCGCGCTTTCCTGGCACGGTAATCTTGATCAAAGTGCAAGGATGGCCTTGGTTTGAAAACGAGTGCCTTTTATAGCCAAAAACTTCAAGTAGGTGAGATAATCAGCGGCTTCGCGAGGACTCTTAGTAAAAAGAGACTCAAGAATCTTAATATTCGCGAGAATAAATTGCGAATAAGAAAGTTGGAACGGTCTGAGCTGTTTACCGTCAGGGCCAAAAAACAAGGTCTGAGGGCAACAAAGGCTTACCTTCCGGTGACGAATTGGTGCTGGGAGAAGCCGGAGAAGATAAGGCAGCTTGAAAACCAGAAGCGGCAGAAGTAGCAAAACCAAATGCAGCAGAAGTAGTAGCTAAGGTGGCTGTCTCTGATGCCTTATTTTCCTGCGTCGGATGGGGGACTTGAAATTCCGTTTCCAGCTTAGAAATTTCCTCTGCCAAATTGAATCCAGGCAGAAAATCCTTTGCAGAAGCATTGAGAGCGGCATTGGCAGTGTCCGCTTGAGGTCCCTCACCGTCCTGTCGGAGTAGGGAAAGCACTCGCCGAAGCATGATTTTTTGGCCGACAACGAAGCCCATGTCGGCGAAGTCCTGCTAGGTGATTGAGCCAAAGACTTGTCTTGATGTTATTTGGTGCTCAACCAGGCCGTCTTTGATATCATCAGGAATGTCCTGACCACGGCAAAATTTAGAAAGCCAGGAACTCTCTGGGGAAGAGTGCTTGCTTAGCTTTTTAGAACTTTTCGTTTTCGGAGGCATTTTTCACGATAGCCAAATACAAAGGCGATTCTGCTAGCTAAGAATGACTGATACAAACGTTGACATGTCGTGGGCTATAAGGGTAAACCCATATCACGCACATTCGAAGATTGACAATCGTTACTACGTATTATACAACCATTGGTCAGAATCCAATACTTAACATCAAAGACCCACTCACTCAACATGACTATTAGAAACGTTTGCGGGTGAATTAATAATGCCATGAATTTCTAACTCACAGAAACACGGGTGACACACCTAGTGTTCTGTTACATTTCACAATTTGCACTTAGGAGTCACGGAACATCATGGCATTATCAAAAACCTACTCACTTAAGATGACTTAGCTACGTTAGCAGGTGAATTAATAATGCCATCAATTTCTTCCTCACAGAAACACGGGCGACACACCTAGTGTTCTGCTGCATTTCACAATTTGCACTTAGGAGTCGCAGAACATCATGGCAGCGTCAAACACCCACTCTTGAATACATACAGATAGATGAAAAAGAAGAAATTCTTGTTAAAGTTAAATGTTGTCCTTTAAACAAACATTAGAGTGTTTTCTGCCAAAACACATTTTCTGAGATCACCCTTCATGAAAAAAAAACACATTATTAGCCATTGAAAAGTGTCACGAAATTAAAGTGAAAGGAGAAAAAAGTGAATTCAAATAAGGGAGAAAAAATGGGCTTCAAAAATTGTCCCATAGTTACAACAATGATATTTCAACAAACAATAAAGTCGTTAACTGACCTCATTTCCCACAATTTGCTATAAAATCGAGTCATGCCCATTGTTACTTGGTCTTTTCCTGAATGAAGGAACAGGAGGGCATTTTGTGTGCGCATGCGTGCAACCGCTGTACAAAGAGGGTGTGATTGCGGTAATCAAAATGGCGCGGGAAATTCAAATTGTACCTTTCATGTTCATTTTGGTGTCATTTCTTATTGTAAGTTTCACTATACAAGGAAATCGTGCTGCAGAAAAGTGCGCAGTGTGTGGAAAGACTATTGTTGGAGAGGACGGACGGCCTGCTTCTGGTTATAAGAAAGATTTTCTATCTTGCTTCGGCATCGATGCGAACACTGACGGGAAAGTATGTGGACAGTGCAGGAAAGCCGTAACAGACCACCGAAAATCGGGTCAAAAGTTTTTTTATGTAAGTACGATAAATTTCAGATCGTATCGTACATAAAATGTAATCGTCTCAAACTGAAACATTTCTAATTACAGCTAGTCGGAAAGTTCGCTCGAGGAAGGGGAAGGCCGCCGCGCAAGAAAGAATTTCCCCCAAAATGTGCCGTTTTGGATCTTACCCAAGGCGATGGAAAGAAATTAACATCAACTGCAACGCAAACAGTGGAACGAGTTGCTGATGCTGTCGACATTAGTTCCCGTGGCATGTTAGATTTAAGTGAGTGGGAGGTAGAAGAAACCTGTTTTGGGGATCTCCTTCGTGGTCCCCTCGGCGATACCCTAATGCCAGCAGGGCTATTTGAAGAAGTAACGGACCACATGAAGCAGCTATCAAAACGTAAGACTCACAATAGTTTATAATCTTCTCTTTTATTAGGGAGGGAAGGGGAGAAATATCACAACTGCCCCTAGAAGCACACGAAACAATATTTTATTATCATCTTACAGGGTGCGACTTAAAAAAAGAAATTCAGCTACTGAAGGAGAGGATGTATCAAGAGTTTACTTTGTGCAGGAGGCCTCCAATCTACGATCCTAAAGAGTTTCAAATCTTCTGTCGTTCAGCCGGAGCCCCCACCATTTTCGATACAATATTAAACGCAATGACGGACCTAAGACATTCACAGTTAAGACTAGGCACCAACGAAAAACGAACTGTTGCCATCATTTACAAGCTATGTTACGGACTTAGCCAGGTTTGCAACTGGTTGCAAACCGACCATGCATTGTTTCTAAAAGACTCAAATCTAAACCAAAGAGGCTTAGAAGCCCAAAGAGAAATGGGAAATTCCTGTTGCCGGAGAAGAGTCAACATTCTGCATGCAGAACTTGCAGAAAGTAACACAAATATGATAGGAGAACTGATTTCGGAAGCTATTAAAGAACAATGGCAACTGGTGTTAATCATTGACGATTACACTTCAATACACAGCAAACGACGTCCAAAAACCGATCAACTATGCCATCCCAAAAGTATGTGCACAATAGTAGTTAAAGAGTTTAAAAATGTCAAGGCAATTCCGAGATGTTCAGCAACAACATATCATAATGTAGACGGCATAGACATTACCTCTTGTGTCAAGACTTTGTCAAGTTCATCCTCAATGTACAAACTGGCCTTTACCTATTCATCTGCAATGCCTGCCTGGATACGTAACACGTTCTTCAATCCAGAACTCGAAAGGCACAGACTTGCCGTGCATGAATATAATGAGAATGACTCTGTGAGGACGATGAGGCAGATGACAGACGTTCATTTTCGGCCGCATATGACATTGTTCTGAGTACAAGAATGTCTGACTACTTAAAAAAATTTCTTGTAATTCAGCCTGGAGACTGGCCTGCGCAGTTTTACAGTAGACAGATTATTTACGAAACGCTGCAAAAATACTATCGATCCTCCCCCGATACACTTCATGGTACACCCATTCCTACGGATCATGAATATACAACACCATTTAATTCTGGATATCGTCAGTGGGCAACCGCCGAAGAAAGTCCTGCACACATCAATAGTCAGCCTGCCATCTTATCTCTTATTCCATGTATAGGTCCTCTTCACATCTCTCTGAACGGCAGAGAAACAGTATTTAAAGATTTTGTGGGCTTCTTTGAAAATATTTACAATAATCTTTTTCCCAGAAGCAAGTTGCCAAAAACTCCCAGGCCATGGCGCATTAGTCTTATTCTTGAAGTCGTTTATGGAGGCTGGCTGTTTATCAGGGAAGCTGTGAAAGAAAAATTCAAAGTTTGTAAAGACATAGAGTACATGACATTGCTAAACTTGTTAGACAATTACATACCACTTGTTCTGACAATTTACAGCACATCGTTCAAGCTAAACAACTTCTTTGAATACTTCAATGCAGTGATACGAATATGGACGATGTTCATGTGTCTCGAGCGGCATCATTATGACAAGGCTCCTCTTGTCTGGATAGCGATGTGTACTTACTGGGGGATAAATAACCCTGACCTATATCTCATGCTTCGTTTGTTTTTAGTTATTTTTGATGAGTACCCTGTCGAAAATGCCCATAGCATCATTAGATCAAAGACAAGTGACAGTGACACAATTGAACAGATGCAGCAGAAAGCAAAGGCTTCATTTCAATCAAAAGTAGCGCAGCATTCATTTAAATCTTATTTTTCCCCTCCTTCTAGCTTTACCTTCAGTGCTAACCAGCTGAAATATCTAAAAATGAAGTGTGCAGCATTAATTTCTTCAATATTCATAAAGATAGCCCAGAATCCGGGAAAAGGGGAATTCAGAGGCAAGGGGAAAAGCCTGAGGGTGGTTTTGCCAAGAATCTTTGGACCAGACCCTGTTAAAACCAAAATACTTCCTCTAGGCTATTGCTCTGAGATTAAGCCTGATCCCGACAAGATATGCGACATGCCAGGTTGTACTGTAACAAATGATGCTGAGTGGGTTCTCCTTGAAGGATGTTCTCACTCATTTCACCTCACTTGCCTCTCAGAAATCCAACACTGCCCACTGTGCCAAAAATTTATACAGCAAAAAGCAGATAGCCTGGGAACCACAGCAAAGAATGCAATCCTCAACCCCAAAAACAGAAACACAGAGAAAAACAAAGGCAGTGATTCAGTAACACCACAAGATGAATCTAACTTGCTTGACACATCAAAGGAACCTACATGTAATGTACCTAACAGTGAAATAAAGGATTTGGATGCCAATATTACTTACTTGATCAATCAAATATCTACCTTATCACCTATTGCCCCTCCATCACAAAGGAAACACTCTAAACAACAGCAACCCACTACAGTTACTAAACCAGCCCACTGTAAGAAGTGCGGCCATCTAGTCAAAGGGCATAAAAGACCAAAAGGAAATCAAGTTAAGTGTGAGCAGTGTCCTGGGGGTATATGCACATCTACTGATGCTGATAGATGCAATTGTAACTGTGAGTGGCACAGTACAGACACATCGCAACAACTTCACTCAATCACTAACCAGCAAGTGTTACAAACACCCACTAATCAACTAGCTCTTCACGTCACACTCCATGGCAGTGTTAAAGAATGGTTATTACCACCTCAAATTTGTCAGTCTATGATTTTTGGTGTTCCAATAGGAAGTAATGCATGTACCATCATAGCAACAATTGGGGCAAGCAAATTCCTTTCTGGAGAGCTAATAATACCTACAAATGATGAAAACGTTCTCCGAACTGTGTCAGCATTTGCTGGTATCATCAAGTGTGGTAACATTATGTACAGGCAAATCAACTTACCACCAGGCCAAGTTAACCTTGACGTCAGAGAAGCTATAGCCACAAGGAGTGACCAGTTCTCCTTAATGATCACAGAAGACATTGGCATATTTTCAACTGAATTTCTACAAAGCAAAATGCAGGAAATTGTTCAGATATCAGAGGACACATGTACAATATTAATTGTTCCACCCGACAAGTCTATACTTATTTGCTTTGACCATACAAAGAGAATAATAATTTGAGAGTCATAAACACCAAGGATATGGTGGTCTGATTGCTGTAGGGTGTTATGATGATATCAGAAGATTTATTATGTATATTGAGCACATGGTTGCTCGGGACTGGCAGACCAGAATTCCTGGTACAAATATGACTGTTCTCAAGACAAGAAGTGTAAATTTATAACTATCCATTGACATCAAGTAATGGCAAATTGCAGTTGAAAAACGATTTTTTGGCCCCATAAGAAATATATTTCTGAAAAATACATTAATCGCTGGTTAATTTAACACCATATTTAATTTGGGGAGAAAGGCTAGATTTTGAGTTTTGCAGCCAAATACTATGTAAATTACTGTAATAAATTATAAAGGAATAGTGTACCAGCAGAAAGCATTAAAAAATTTCACATTTGAGGTTGATTGCACTCATTTTTTCCCCTTGCTATTAAGAAAGAGTGATAATATCATAGTGTGAAGCTTTCAGGGGGAATGCTCGATTTTGTTAACAAAACCACATTTGAACATTTTGTGAATAAAATACCCTCCAGCAATGTACGATGAAAGAAACTACAAATTACCACACCCAGCGATTTTTCTGAGTTTCAATTATTGTGCCCAGCTATCGTTGAGGTACTCCAGAATACATTAAGCATCAGTAAACGCTGGGGAGAAAGGCTGGATTTGGAGATAACTTAATCCAGAAACCCGTGAAATAGTAATTTTTGCTGGAAAACACAAAAATCAACTACGTTTCGCTTAAAATATAAATGTTTGATCACATCCGTATGTACTAAAAAATGTCGTATCACATGTAGCTACTCACTTGCTGCAGTGCTTTGACGGTTTAACTTCTTCTACAGTTTCAAAGAAAGGCTTGACATTGAAGCTCGTAGCAATACTTCGTCGCCATATTGTCCTCGTTGAATGTTCCACACAGAAAATATCCAAGCTAATAGACGGCATTCAAAGCCCAAAGAAGGCCGACTATAACCACAGCAAATAAGTACGGATGTCAAAGAACCTTTCAAGCGAAAAACAATTGAAATTGCCTATATTCCCGGAGAGAAATTCAAACGCGAGTTGCGAAGAAAGTGTAAACAAAGCACACTTCAGCGCCAAATCTGCACAGGGAAGCCCACGGTGACGCATGCGCACACAAAATGCCCTCCTGTTGAATGAAGGATGTGTACAGAGATTTTGGATTGGCGGGCTATTCGAGCAGCAATCCGTAGTCTGTTGGGTCCCCATTGCTTTCGATAGGAGGTCTATTGTCTTTCGAGCCTTCTGATTGGTCTGGAGGATATTTCGATCTATTGTTGGGGGAAATCGGAAATATCTTAGAACGAGGCTCGGGTGTGGGCGGAAGCCTTCCGAGAGGGTTCGGGTCCCTTCGGAAGGGGGTCGGAATTATGTTAATGAGGGATGATGTCATGAAGCAAGAAGGAGAGACACTTGAGTAGTTACTATACTGAAGGAGGAAGCGAACTTATATGCGTAATCGGTTGAGTCAACTCACACATGTGAGAGAAGAAGTGTCCCCTGCGCAGTAAGAAAAGACATTGTGAATAAATTTGTTTAATCAAATTACAAGTATTATAAAGTCAGAGAAAAGTCTGGAGAGATACTGGAATAAAAGTCGATCAGCCAGTCCAGAAGAAATCCATTTATTAATAAATCGAGAATGACTGGATTTCCTTGCGTTCCATAAACTGGATATTGGTACAATAGAATGGAAGGACCGTAATAGTCGCGCAGTAAATCTAAAATGAGAGCGATTCAAGCATCGTTGAATTTCTTTTCATGCTTGTTCTCTGTCACAATCATATCAATCTAGAAAAAAAAGTGTGTTTAAGAAATATTGCTTGAAGGTAAAGGATTGTGAAATAGTTATTGACGTAAATAAGATGGCGACTAATCTCCGAAAACAAAGGGCAAATGAATTGCGAAATAAAACAAACGTTTAAAAGTACCGAGTATTGCTTGGTTTTTCGGCTGAAACAGTGAGGACAAACGTAAAAGCGAGGATAAGGTTTGTTTTCCATAGCAGAAGACAAACGTTTGTCGCCGCTTGAAAACGAAAATGCCACGAACATTGGAAAACCTGTTCGAAGGCAACAGGGAAGCCGGGTTAGTTCTTCATCCATTTTTGTCCTTCTGTCAATTGTCATGAAACATTAAGTCCAGAACATAATGATTACTTGCACCTCAAAAGGTAGCAGGTTGCCGAACGGCTTGTTTTTTGGGTCTACTAAGCCCTTGTATTTCATTGCTTCGTTAGCAAAAAGAGCACAACAGAGCGTGTCTTGCCATTTGCTCTATGCAAATGCTAGGTGTGTGAAAAACACAAGGGAATAGGCTAAACCAGTCGAGACTAAAAAAGTCGCTGGGGAATCGAAATTAACCAAAGAAAGAGTTTAGCCAACATATAGAAAACTAAAAGAAGCTAAAACGAGGCTCGGGTGATCATCGGAAGGGGTCGGAAAGAGTCGGAAATAAGAAGGAGAGACACGTGAGAGTAGTCAGTAAAACATATGACGCAATATGCAATGAAAGGAATAAAAATATGTAATGTGTAAAAATATCAAACGCAAAATTACATGTTTAAAAATATCAATCGCAAAATTACAAAATAATGGAAAGGGCAGCTGGTAAACGAGAATATCTGTCGTGTAAATTGTCTAACAAAAAGTCCAAACTATCCTCAACCATCTGATTTTGCCTCTTGCCGTGTACTGGTAATTCACAGAGCTGTATCTCTGGATGAGCCTGTCTAAATAACTGCAAAATATGGGCCAATCTTGCATCATATAGTTAATCTTGGTTTGCCGTAGCGACAATCATATCAATCTACAAGAAAAAGAAAAAATCTTAGTGGTAAGCATGAAATAAAACTGAAGGAAAATAGATGAACACACTTACCGACACTTGTTGTGTGTTCCTTCTGAAACAGTGAGGACAACCGTAAAAGCGAGGATAAGATTTGTTTTCCATAGCAGAGGAAAAACGTTTGTAGCCGCTCGAAAACGAAAATGCCACGGACATTGGAATAGCTGTGCGAAGGCAACTGGGAAGGCGGGTTAATTCTTCATTCATTTTTGTCCTTCTGTCATTTGTCATGAAACAATGGGTCCAGAACATAATGATTACTTGCACCTTGAAAGGTAGCAGGTTGCCGAACGGCTTGTTTTTTGGGTCTACTAAGCCCTTGTATTTCATTGCGTCGTTAGCAAAAACAGCACAACAGAACGTGTCTTGCCATGTGCTCCATGCAAATGCTAGGTGTGTGAAAAACACAAGGGAATAGGCTAAACCAATAAAGTTGGAAAAAGTCGCAGGGGAATCCAAAAAGCACCAATGAAAGAAAGCCAACAGTTAGGAAAAAAGAAGCATGAAGTAAGCCTCATTTCGCTTTACCATTGTACCTTGTTTCTTAATCGAAAATGATGTCCCTTCAAGAATCAAGCCCGAAAGCTGTGCCAAACCCAGGGGAGCAAGCCAGAAAGGTTTTGCCGCCATGGCATATGGTACGCATTGCCGTTGAAGAACGGGACTTCAATGAGATGAGAGACAGGTTCAGAGAGGCACACAAACTTCGTTTTCGGTACGTACTCATTGAATTGCGTGTGTTAGAAGACTTAAACTGGACCCTGCCCTTGTTTCCCAGCCACGTGTGGTGGCTACAGCGAAGTTAGCTAGAGGCGTGGATTGTTCTGTGTTTAGAGAGACGCTTATGGACATAAGGACATAAAGAGATCTTGACTGGCCGTTATCCATGAAAATTTTTTTTGCCAACTTTCTCCATCAATTTAGACCGATGTTACAAATCGTAGAAGCATACCGAGGTGGAAACCAAAACGGAATGGGCCCGTAGCACTGTTTGTACGTTTTATTAACCGAGCATACAGCGATGAAAATTTATACAGACATTAGCCCGCGTATGCGTTTATCACATTTAATATCTGTGCAATGGCAGATAGTTAAGTCAGTTAAGTGTTTCAGTAATTAGTAGCTTTCGTTTAGTTCAATGGTAAAAACTAATTATGTATTTGTATGTAGATCGTCGCTTGGCTTCATTCGACTGGTCCCAGATGTCGATTGGAGGCCCTCATTTACCGTCTGGTTTTTTAATTTTATTTAGAGATACCCTGGAACGGCTACCTTTTATCAGAGACTTTGAGTGGACATCGCGCATAAAGATTCTTTTACTGCCATTGTGAAAATGTGTGTTTTTGTTGTTTATTGTAGAAGTGTTGTGCAAAACATAAGATGGAAAAAGATGAAGTATTGTCCATTTACGAAATGGTTGAACTTTTACAAAAATATATGTAGTCATTGTGAAAGAATGTTTGAGTTTGTTCTAACATTTGATGGTTTAATTTTGACGTGGAAACACGAAGAGGTAGACACAAATCGGGAACATAAGACCCTTTCGAAATGGTATAAAGGGCCATCGATTATTCAAAGACTAGGAAGGTAAACGAATGGTGTGTTTTTTATTTTCTAGACCAACACTTGTGCAACTGACAGTGATACCTTGTTGCCCCATTACGTTGTGGGTCTATACGGGGGAAACATGTAGTAGTTGCGATCTAAGCATTGGACTATTTGGAATCTGTATTGAAGACTGACTTCTATTTAGGACTCGGTGAAAAGACTTTGACCTGTTTGCA